GGGGTACCCCTTGGAAAAATCTCGGAAAAATCGAAACTTTTTTTTTGTCGTTTATTATTAGCAATGTTCTTCCGACGTCTGATTTCTTTTTAAAAAATGCGTTTCTAAAGTACATAAACTTTTGGGATTGACTGTATAGCCAATACACCCTTAAAATTGTCATAAAAAATGAATCACATATGAAACAAGTTACAAATGCATCTGAACAATGTCAAAAACACTTGAGTGCGTCAAGCACTGTCGTTGTCATCTTCTTGCAAATCTCCGTAACAGCCGATTTTTTTTCTAATCAAGTCACCCCATAAAATATTAGTATTACAAGAAGGGCAAGTGCCCTCGATTGGTAAAATCATACTATCCTTAGAAAATAATTGCGCTAAACAGATTAAGTGAGCCATTAACGAACACGTAGACTTTATACACCTAACAGAGTCCTCATCTTCTAAAAACGAATTACATATCGAACAAAGTAAAGACGATTCATCTAACATTTGCAGTATATCGTTCGACTTTTTAATTTTCTGCGAAACTACTTTGCCACAGCATACAGGCATATGCATCGGCGGGGACACGTGACTGGAGTACTGTTGAAAAAAATCGTAATCCAGCCAGCGTATTGTTAATGGCAAACGACGCCACGGGCCGACGTTTAACATTTCTGACGCTACTAATAAGCAGTAGTCGAATACTTTTTGATTTGATTTCTTCTTAGGCACATGCTTCAATCTTCGGCTCACTTGAGGATGCTGCCAGGCCCATTCGAACTGAGGAAATAAAATGAAACAATTGTTAGAAATTGATATGAATGATTGCTTATTATAAGTACGTACCCTGAGTGCAGAGGTGCTGTTTGGAAAACCGTGGATGATCAATACCATATTCCTGTGGCAGATAATAACATCTTTATATTGTATGAAGATTGTATGATTATTGCTAATAATTGTACAAGTACCATGGACCTCTGTTACTCGTTTTCCAAGCACCTCCTTGATCCTTCCCAGCGTTATGTTGTTTTATCCTACGCCTTGGATCTACTGTGTATCCTATGTATGTTCTTCCTTTGTATTTTGGGTTCATAGAGTATAACAAATACACACCATAAAAGTGTTCTACTACTTCGGCGTCGTCCATTTATCAAATCGTCAAACGATTATTATGCTAGATTTATGAATTAGTGTACTTTAGGTGAATGGATTTAACTTAGAATCATCGCTTACATTTGTTTTCCTACTATAAATGGTAATTTACAAAACAATTTTAATGGATTTGACGAGCCTTTTAAGGCAGCCGTAAAGACCTGATTTATTATTTTAACTTTCATACATCAAACCTTCAAGTTCCTACTCTCTAATCTAAGCAAAAATCGAAAGCTAATCAAACTTAAATACTAAATAACGTCAGTCTATAACAAGAAATACGAAGAACGCAAGCGCGGTGACACGCGGTGTCTGCTGGACAGTCAAGTGTATACTATATCCTGGTGTATCCCGAGTAAAAGTGTTGGGTTTCGCTTGGAAAGAAAAGAAAAAAACGGGATCGCGAATGGAGATTACGCGTAAGAGCGAAGGAGTAGTAGCGATCGGTTCCCCAGTGGATGTAATCTGTGTAATTGAACGCAGCGGGTATTTACTTGCAGCGCTGTTGGAACTGGTCTCTGATCTTGATTTGACGCAAAACGTAGCGGTAAACATCTGTACGGAAAGCTCGAGCAGAAATGGCTGCCGTTTTGAGAAGATTCCGAAACGCGCAGATCACGGCGATCGGCAAAACTAAACCACCGTCGTTTGTTACCAGCCGGTAGGCTAATCGTGATTTACGAAAAAAAAAGACGATCGAGGACCAACTCCTCTGGCTCTGTTATACGTCTTCGTGCTTATGCTACTGCTAACGCGAGGTTTAGCCTCTACGGCGGCTTTTTACGGCAATAGTCACATCGTCTGTGTTGTAGATCTTTCGCAAGGTCATCGATCCGATGTGAGATCAGCGAAGGATGGATAAACAAGCTGTTCGTAAGAAAAATCGAGCCGACCAAAGAATCCCACTCGCGGATGCTATCAGATAAAGGAGTAATTTACGCGTTACACACGCACAATATACGACCCGACTCGATTGACAAATACCTGGCCAACTAGTAAGTGAATCTCCGCTTTGCCTTATCAATCCTATGCATCTTGCATTCCATCTAAACTTAGGACACACAATACACATGATACACGTGTTATTGGTACGAGGAAATAATTTATGAAGCTTCGAAGAAATATTAGATTTTTATTTATGTCGTAGAAATTGGCATGCGCAGAATTGTTTTACGTTAAAGAAGATTGTATCGGGACTTTTTTCTATTTTCGGATGTTGCAGCGAAGAGATTGTTAATATTATTAACTCGAAGAAGTCCGAACTTAAATTGGAGCTGGTCGGCTCGTGGACCGTCTTAGCTGGCGACGTCGATCAGGCCTTGCATCTATGGCAATATTCCGGTGGCTACGAAAGCGTAGATCGCACGCAGATATTGTTGTCCAACTATGAGGTGTGGTTCCCATCAACTAGCTCTACGTATCCATTCACACCTCATATCAAAAGAGTTTTTTAAATTCCAGGAATATCAACGACTATTTAAAGAGAGTGGCTCTTACGTGCGATCGCGTTATTTGCAATATTTACTAGCGTTCAGCTATTGGCCTCCATTGGTCAAAAGAAAAGACTCGCACATATATGAGATTCGTAGTTACAGGCTACAGGCTGGTACTATGATAGAATGGGGGAATAACTGGGCGAAAGCTATTAATTACAGACGCAACAATAATGAATCGTTCGCTGGGTTTTTCTCGCAGATCGGTAGACTGTACAATGTCCATCACATCTGGTGTAGGTATCATTTACAGATTTTATTAATAGCCTAACTACATGAATGAAACTTTAGATTCGGAACAGTTCAATCGCATTTTAACAATTTTCAGGCTATAAAAATCTTCAGGCGAGGATGGAAACTCGCGAGAGGGCATGGAGATCACCGGGATGGGATGAGTGCGTTGCTTACACTGTCCCGCTTATAAGGGAAACGCATTCCCGTATACTAAGTCCGACTAGCTTCTCGCCAACGAAATAGAAGTTCTTCGAACAATTTAAAATGCATTTGTATAATACAATTTATTCTTTACGTTTACATTATAATATCGTAAAAACATTTGTTATGTTACATCACTACATTTATAATTGTATAAAGTAAGCGCTCAATTTGAAGATTGTAGCATTTTGTTGTATTGCGAAACTACTGAAATGTATTTTAATAAAATTTAAACTTCTTTGTTAATCACGATGATTTATTTATATTACAACCCTTATTGTCAAATACGTCCACGTATAAATGAAGACACGATGCTTAATCCTTAGATCCTTTCCCCTTTCATTATTATTAAAATTTCCCATTTGCAAACATTAAAATGGCGCCACGAAATTTGTTTCGAGAATTGTTGAGATTGTTTCGAAGATGATCATCAATAATGATCGTAGGATGACGATTTTTGTTTTGAATTAAAGATTGAAGACTCCTTTGAAATGCTCCATGAGACAACCAATGACTTATAATCCACAAACGTTCATTTTTATTAAAAGTTATTGCGTTAATATACACATATATATGATGTACAATCGTACGATCTCGTATGATACAATGAAAATTTAATTAAACGCGCTTAACTATTAGATATTAGGATCAGTGCAGCATTATTTCTCTACTATACAATGCTGATTAAAAGAAGTATTCAATTGGTTTTCAAAATTCAAATCATACCGGAAGTTAGTAGCTTTGGAGAGGAAATTTTCGAATCACACTAAACCTCGGATTTCCTAATTACACTAAATTCTAATGTTCGTAATTAAGATTGAAGGTCTTACATATACTGTGAGTGAATATTTACAAAATGCTGATTGCAGCGAGAAGTGATGCTGGAAATTAATATTCAGAAAAGAAGAGATATTGGGATGTGTACTGGATGGAAACTTTGGACGATTACAACGGAATTAATAATATAATACAAACGAAATAATGCTACTAGAAGCGAACTACGAAAGAAGTACTTCTAGCGATACTCGGGAAATAAAAAATTTATTTACTGGAAGCAACGTACAGACTAGAGTATTTGCAAATTTTTGCGAGTAGAACGTATGTACAATGTAAATTATTTCGGATGGAAGAAGAAAGATTAAACGAGCCGATCAAGCAGTCGTTTCACTTGATTGTTTAGCTCATTATATATTTTATTTTCATCTGAAATGCATGCACGCTTAATCGAAGAAATGAATTTAAAGATGGCTTCATATCAAATTAAGAGACCCATCAAGTTTGAAAGGAATTTGAAGTGGACACTGTATCTTC